CTATGTGCAGTGAAGGTGTTGCCGAGAAAACCAATAAAATTCTGGCGTGAAGGAATAAAACGAAACCGACGTACAATCAATTTAATAGTTATGCAGGTTATGCAATTTCATTGAAAAGAAAAATTATGAAAATTAATTTGGAAAAAAAAAATTTTTTCAAAAAGAAAAAAAAAAACAGTAAAATTCATCGGCAAGAATTGATTTATAATATGAGTTGAAAGGAACTATACAAAGGATAAATTTATTTAAAAAAATATGAAGGAAACACTAATAACTTCTTCAAAGTTATACGCATCATTTAGGAAATGTGCATTTAATTTAATTTAATTTATTAGGGAAATTGAATAGTTCGAATGGAAAGGGTAAAAAAGAGACGTCACTTCTAATGCGAAGAAGTCAACATGGGATTTTTGCACTTTTAAGAAGTAATCTTCTCGCATTCATAAAACATGAAGGATCATATATGAAAACATATAAATTGTCATCGAAGCTCAGTTATGATTACTTGAGTTTTTTTTTCATCTCTTAAAACCATTACTCGAAGACATTCGCTGCCATATCTTTTTCATACCTTGCTTTCGCATCTAGTATACGATGAGAATGGTTTGAGAAAACGCAAGACCCAAGAGTGGTTTGCTCGATTCGATGCACCTCGCTCTGGTCGGCCCGTCACTGAAAAAGTCGATACAATTTTCAAATGGTGCAAAGGCGAACGAAGGCACTAAACAACACCCACATGACAGTTTCGAATCATTTGAAAGGAGCGTTTGAAAATATCAGGCTACGAACAAAAAAACTGAAAGGAAGACCATAAAATGACGAAGACCTTCTATAACGCCCATTATAATTTCGACTCGACTTAAGAGCTTTAACAGATAAATACACTGTAATGGGGCACGGTTCATCATGGAATGGCCTCCAATATTCTACAGTTTTCAAGGCGTTACATCGAAAGTAGGATCTAAAGCATTAGCAATATCTTAAAATAACTTAAAAATATCTTAAAAATGGCAGCCCGTAGGTTAAATACAAGAGAACAAGATTCAGCGTCGATAGGTACAATAAAAGGTCTCAGGTCCGTCCGGGTGTTACATAAATTCTCTCAAGCTTAGTATACGTTTGTACCATAAATGATGTAGGGTGTCAATCAATTCGGTTTTCAATAAGGACTGCCATTTTTACAGAAAATAGTCCAAAATGTGTGTGTAGTACACTTTTACCAATATTCTCCTATGTATTCCCAACATATCTCTTACTTTGTACAAAGCGTTAATTTACTTACTTTTATTAGGAAATCTATGATGACATTAGAGGATCGCTAATGCATGGAAGACTTTCTGGCATGAATGAGAATTGCGATTAAAAGTAATATCCATAAAATGCAAACTTTATTTAAGGTCATATTTTCCAACTAAAACTTGAATAGATGAATCCCGGAAGGATATTACTTCGAAGTGGGTAGTGGGTAGTGGGTAGTGGGTCAAAATAGTCATATTTCTTTCCTTCTCTCTTTTTAATATTCCGTCCGCTTCTGTACCCCTTTCTTAAGATTTTATACACTTACTGTGTATGGGTGTGTGTGTGTGTGTGTGTGTCGAACGAAATTCAATAATAGTTTTCGTTCTTCAGTAAACCATTTTAAAATAAATGCCAGATCGGTGGCGAACTGAAAAGCGACAACATTTATTCACATTTATCGCTTATCTTCTCTAATGCACTTTAAAATTTAGTTCTAAGCATTGCTAGCACAGTGAAAGCATTTCATTGATGAACATAATAAATGCGAATTGTAAACATGTATAAACTAATGTTTGCATATTGATCTATATTAACAAGTTAAATCGATGTTTAAACAATCTGTTCACAATGCCCACACACATGCAAATATTGTTACAAATGATTTCTTCGAAAATTAACTAAATTTCTCGTAATTGCTGCAAAAACGATTCTAAGGCCATAACCGTAAAAACGATTATATCATATACAGTGTAACACGTTCATATTTGTGAATCTGAACGCATTATAAACGTTCAACATTTATATGTGAATGTAAAACAATGTTTCCATTCATCCATTATCGATTGAGAAATTTAATGATGCGTAAATAATATTATACCCGTCGTCACACATGGTGGCATAAAAGGTTCAACATAATATTTACAATTCCTTAACATTGCGCAGCACTTTAACTTATACAGTGATGTAATATTTCGTGAAAATTGTCTGCAGGAACACTAACCGATTTTCTAAGAAACCAAATTGGAAAAGATTAAAAAAAAAGAGCAAATACAGACTCGTGCTGACGCCTAATTTCTCTCGACGCAATTGGCGCTCTAACGGGGATTTCATAATAATGTCATCACTTGATTTAGTATTAGTAACTTGCTTGCTTGTGTAGAACGACAAGGGTTGCAAGGTAGTTGCGAAAGGCAAAGTCGGTCGAGTCAAGAGAGTTCAACCGTAATTCTCAAACGGACAAGATCAGGGGAGTCGTGTAATTAAGTTTGTAAGTAGATCTCCTCTGGTATCCTAAAACTCACCCTGCGGTGGTGTGAACTTGATCTCAAAACAAGTCGCCTTAATACGTAAAGTTCCAAACGCATTTCACGTTACGAGATGTCCAGGCGTTCTGGACTACCATGAAAATTGATCGAATGAAAGCATCCTTAGTTATCTTTATACTAAATGAGCGAAAATTCAATTTTTTATTCCTTTGGAAAAACGAAGGTGTTCTCAGTTTACATAGCGCTGCAAGCGCGTCCTGCCACCGATTTATTCCATTCGATTACCAACTTGCGTGCAAGAATGTCCAATGTTTCTGACAAATTTTAAGTCGATGGCTTCGTTTTTCCGGCAAGGAGAATATTTAGGACAGACGGACAGACGGCCATGCTTAAATAGATTCACAATTTGATGCTGATCAAGCATGTAATACTTTGTCCATTCTCTGATGCTTCGTTCTGGGCGTTGCAAACGTTTCAACACAATGAATCTACTTCTGATCCTTCGGTGATGGGTACAAAAACATTTCAATTAACTTATCGAAAAAAACCTCCATATGCTAAACTAGAGAATGTTTAGTTGAAGGCATTGTTAAAAATTTGAATGAAACCAATGAAAATCGTGAAAGTTATGTTACAGGCCGTTTTACTCGAAAGTGACTTTTTTGCTGCACCTATCAAAAACAGAACAGCACTTTTTGCACTTTATATTTAGCGAAATGGCAGAAAAAAAGATCAGCAAATATATAGTTTTTTGTTCGAATTGATAATTAACACCAAAAGTGCTCAGTATATGCTCTTGATTTTTTTAACAGAATCCTTGCATGCTTTCAAATCGTTTTCCGCCTCTCAATGGCTAGTGCATCAACTATTTTTAAATGAACATAAACGCTTTCCAAAAACATCCCTTAGCAAATTAAATCAATTGGAAATATATAGAAACATATATAAAACATTAGGCGCCAACTATCCAGCTACGAGTCATTTGACAAAGACAATTATTTTGGAGTAGATGAGGAAAAGCATTCGATGAATCTATTGAGACAGTAAATACTTAAATATCTACGCGTTAACCTCTGGTTTTGAGGTGAATTACATTTACATTAAGATATGTTGTTTGCATATCGTTTGGAAACCTTATACATTAAGATCGCAAAATTCGGCTCCAAGTGAGATACATAATTATATTAAAAACTAGGCTAGCTCGACTTCAAAATATTCATCTCTGTTAAGAGGAAAATCAGATTTTTCACATCTTTATAATTTCTTTAGTTATATTAAATGCACCCTACACAAAAGAGAGAAACAAATACTCAATTGACAGCGAGTGTTAAACGTACGGGAAGTAATAGGTAAGACGAAGTTTATGTGCTCATCCTGAGCAAAATTACCGTTATCTGCCCACCATATGTAATCGCGGTTAGTTTTAATTCCATTTGGCAGATAAAGTGAAAGTACATACACAACATACTTCAAATGCCGAATTAATGTTTGTTATAATAGGTGCAGGCATATGTTTTGATCAGCAATGATCGCATTGGCGCAAATGATAAAGTAATGCAAAGTATCAACGGTAAAACTTTTTAAATAACTTTTTAATAAGATTTCTTTGTGTATTCTTCTAATATTAAAAATGACAATAAAAGATTAATAGACAGTTATGCACATCGCAAGAACAACACTTGCATAATTATAGCGAAGTAGTGCGATTGTAAAACTTTGAAGAATTATTTAATATTTTTAGTTTTTTTAGCTGACTAACTTTGATATCTATCTTAAATATATCTGTTAAGCTGAATATTTATTGTGTGTGTGTGTGTGAAAAAATGCATTTTCTTCCACAAAATAGTCATGTAAATGTGTGGTTAATTTTCTAAAAACTTATATATATCCAAAGTACACGATTATTGATAGCAGGGCGGCAAACGGAAGACCAAAAACGATTAAATTGACCCAAAATAGCAAACTTAGTGCGTGTGTGTGTTTATCGTGTGAATGTGGTCAGTGCACTATTTTGGATCAATTGAATTTAAGCATGTATATATATACATACACTATATATATATGTGTACAATTGGTATGAAGTTTGTACAATTGCAGGCTTTAAGCCTCAATTGCCACAAAAGCACCTCCGCTTATAATATTATATGCGAGTTGAAATTTGTTGTACATAAGACTAATAGAAGTTAATTTAAATAATAAATTCCTCGAGTCTATTATATTAGAGGAGTAAATTTTGTAAAGAAAAAAAAAAAAGGAAAGAAAATTTGAAAAATATTCTGATATTCGTTGCTCACTAGATTAATATGAAAAATAATTCATGGACTGAAACGTTTTCTTTTTTTTTCTACTTTAAAGGAAGCAAAAAGCTTCCCGTTTATTCAGCTCAGTCAACGGCAAGCACTTCACGTTTGATGATAGGCTTATAAATAATATTTAAATTTGTGTATATAGATTTATATATATGTTTATATGTGTACGTATATATGCGATACTTACAGTATGTGTCTGTCGTTAAACGATCAATGGTGTCCTGTTTTAATTTTGAGCTTTTCTTTCCCATATTGCTGCTGCTGTTGACCTCGGATGTTCCTAATGTTGACGATGATGATGGTTATGATGGCGATAGGTGTAGAGGTGGGGCTCTTTTATGTTCAGGCAGAACAAAATAATTTATAGTCTTTCTTTATGCTTTTACTCTTATTTACAGGAACAATTTCATTAATTTTCACGTTACTGTTATTAGTTTTGCTGTTTTAGAATATAAAATAAAAGTTGTTGCATCTATTTGAAAATTTATAACACTTGTTGTCATAATCGAGTGCAGCAGTTGGGTATAATTGATGTAATAAAAGGCTGAAAAAAAAAAAAAACAAAAATACATTTACTACACATTAGATAGATGTATCGATGCAAACCGAGTTAAACAGCGATTTTACATATTAAAATAGAATGATGGACAGATTGCCTCGCATATATCACCATTTGAATTGAATTGAATATTCAAGTGAACGAACTCCGGAAGTAGCTTAAAAATCATTCTAAACAAAATTTTACATTCATCCCTTTGGAAAAATGTTGCCATACGTATCAGAGACGCGTGTAAAATTGCTTAATACTTGATACTTAATTAGCGTAAAATTTTCAATTACGAAATGTTAATTATGCCCGAATATGCTCGCATAATTCCAGCTGAAAATTGCTATATACATTTTCAATTCACGTTTATCATAAAGCAGCCGTAATTCGTCAGATTAAACGATTTCGGAGTAATGTTAAAAAATGTTGGCATATTTAAGTTTCGGTTTAAAGTGCAGTAAAAATCGCGACCACAAATCTGATCTACGCGGGTTTAACTCTCAGTGCGGTACAGTTCACTTTGGACATAGCAATAGTGAATGCTCGGTCTTTCACTTTTGTCCATGCGTTACGCGAATAATGTACATCCACTGATTGATTGGTTATATTCAAAAAGAAAGCAGAGGCTCGGACCTCGCTCCCTTAATGCCTTTATCGAATTTGTATTCGAAATTTCATTGCACAATAGAACGAGTACCCGTACACTATATATGTATATACAATTACATATAGAATTCTATCGTCATCTGATTTGCGAAAAAAGTCTCTTCTGTCAATTGAATCGAATTCAAACTTTCATATGCATAAGAGTCGAAAGGCGAAAATTTAAGAGGACGAGCAATATTTTCGTGTTGCTCTGCATTTGTTAAAAGTGATTTGAAAGTGAGTTGATTGGAAGACCAAATTTGATTTATTCGAAAAAGTTATTTCACCAGACAAACAAACAGACGTGACCAAAACGATTGCTCTCTACACTGCTCTGCTCTGCTCTGCTCTGCTCTGGTGGATATTTTTATGCATTAATAACTTTTCGAGAACACGATATGCTACTGTACTCTATAATAGGTGCAGAAATCTTGTTTCCGAATCGATAATAAGTATTCAAGATTCGTTGTAAGCCGAGTAGGGCTTTTCACTTTTGTTCTGCACCTATCCGCCGCTGTGCCAGATATGTCATTCTGACTATAATAAATACAAATTGTCATAACAGATGCCATAAAGTGCGTATATTATTGATTAGTGTGAAAGCTTAATTTAATTTGAAGCATTGAATATTCACAATTCATCCCAAAGGCGCATATACTATGCTTTTTTATCCAAAAAAAAAAAAAAATACAAAAATAAAACAAAACAAAACAAAAAAAAAACAAAAAAAAAAAAAGAAATGAAACGGAAACAACCAACAATTGTAAAATAATTTGACATTCCGAACAGTAATGAAATTAATTATAGTGAAGTTCATAAAATATTAAAACATTTCGAAAGCTAAAAAATAACTTTACAAAATTTCAAAACTAAATTTATTATGTTATGTCCTATGTAATTTTAGGGAATTCGGTTTACGTTGCGGTCAACCGAGCACACAAGCGATAGCGTCAGCTTTATTATAAAAATTTATACAAATTATAAATAAATATTTATTCAACTTTTAATTTATTTTAAATTTGTTTTTTTTTTTTTTCTTTTCAATTTTAAAGTAAATTAAATTTAATGTGTTCTTATTTATCATTCCTAAATAATTTCATCATAACATCCCATCAAGATTGATACAAAGAATCAAACCAAAGTGAAAGAGTGTTAGGGACGTAGGTTCGAAACCTAGTTGCATTATACATTGCACTCTACGTTGAGCGCATAGTTATTCAAAAAATGATTCCAATCTTTTATGTAATTGTTTTCAACAAACAACATTGCAACCCGTACCGATTTTACTCATATTTCCAAAAGTCAAATAAGGCGTCGTTCGTTTCTTTGAGATTAAGCCTTTAGAGAGAAGTTGTCCAAGTCTCAAAGACTGAGGCTCGATTCCTGGTGCAGTAATCGCCAAACTGTCCTTAAATGTACATCTGTCTGTCTGTTGTTGAAATGTAACACTTTATCGCAAGGGTCTTGAAATCGGGACAACGGGATTGAATATTGTCGTGTTCTTGTGCTGTTGCCTTTTGTTTTTTTTTTTTTTTCCTTTCCTGAGAACCATGTGCCATGCCCTTATGAATAAAACTGTCGTCACACATGGTTCGTTATTAAAAATATGTTAAAAATATGTTTTACCACACTGGGCTAAAATACACTCTAAGACAATTGTGGTATTTTTTTTTTTTTTTTTTTTGTATTTTATAGAAAAGGAAAGTATAATTTAATTCAGCTAATGGCATTGATAACAAGAGCATCCTTTAGGAAGTCATTGAAATTCAATGCAATTGAATTGTTTTACTATAGCTATAAAAGTAAACGTACAACGTCTTAGATAGAAAAAAAACAAAAAACAAAAAAATGTAAATGATTAGGAGGTCAAATCGAATTTTCGATACCCGATATGTTTATAAGAAATTTTTCCAAAAATTTCTTTATACAACAGAATAACATACAGACTAACTTTGCATATCCTCCGTGAAGTGCCATTCAAGACATATTCACAATACGAAGCCAATGCAATATCTCTACGTGAAAATTTTACTTTTCTACGAACAAGAGAAGACTCCATATCTTCAATTTTTGATTCATAATTTAATTTCATATGGATAGGAAAACAAATAACCTAAAGCCCGAACAATTGCTTTCAAAAGAAGTAATGAAATGAATCGACAAACGTATCGCAAGTTCTTCATAATTTCTTAGAAAAGGAAAAAAAAAAAAAAAAATCTGTGCGTTTTATATATTTTCGGATATTACAACCTTTCGGAAAAGTTAATATACCTGAAGAGATCTTGCCAAGAAGAAAGAAGAAAAAGGAGCTCAATGTAAAATGTTTATTTTTCTTCCATTCGTATGCAAATGCGTGCACGTATTTATATATATTGTTGATGACAATTTCATTACGGTAAATTTAAGACGTTGCATTTCAACATTTACAGCATTAAAAACGATACAACATTTTCTTGAGTTTCATTGCATTATGGATGGTATGAGAGAGAGAGAGAGTGATTGTGTTACAGTTGAGCAATTTCTTATACGGTGCTATTTGCACTCGAAACTCTTTTCATTTCTTTATTTAAAATAAATTTTTCATATAGAATAACAAACATAATTTAAGCTGAGATAGATGTAAAATAAATTTGTTCAGTTTGCGTCGAAATCCTATTCGTGCTGTTAATTCAAATATATCCGTAAAAACTATTTATTGAGTTGATTCGCATAAAATGAAACATTTCTTTATTTAGTGATGGAAGCAACTGTACGAAGATTCGAATATGCGTTAATCACTAATTCAACTTAATCGAAATAATGTTTGTTTCAATTATTAATATTTATTTCGTAGGAGAATTTTATTTTAAATATCTTTAATTTATAGAATTATGTGATGAGAAAATTTTTTTGTAGAACCAACCCTATTATCTTTATATTTTTATGTAAATAAATTCATATAGGTTTGTAAGTGTTGTACATTTATTTCCATAAAACGTGTCCGTACACAAAATTGTAAGCACAAGATGAAATTCTTATACAATATGTGCGAACGTATAGTGGCATTGTGGTGCATAATTCAATGTCTTGTGCACAAGTGCATTTATATGTATAAGTGCATATAGATACGGGGAGAGTATCATCAACATTGTAGTACGTACTTCTCTCTCTCTCTCTATGTATGTATTTATGTATATATATATATATATATATATGTATGTATATGTGTATGTATGTATGTAGTTAAAAATGTTTTTGACCTAGAATTTTTTAACATGTAAACAAACTTTGAAGTTTTTTTTTTCCGTCCTTTTCTCTACTTTTCCTTATTGTTTTTGTTGTCGTCCTTACCGTTGCAAGCCACAATAATAGTCACATAGTCAAGTAACCTACCAAGCAGCCAACCAACAAAATAAAGCAAAGCAAAGCAAAGCAAAGCAAAGCAAGGCAAGGCAAGGCAAGGCAACTAACTACAAGCAGGCTTACAGTCATTATGTTGACAAATAATCTCATATCTGATATAAACACAAGTTTGTAAGCGTGGGTGGCAGCGTAAGTATTAGTATATATATTTTGTATGCATGTATATGTGTTTTTTAATTTTTTTTTTTTTTTTTTTAGTCTAGAAAAAACATTAAGGAAGGCGACAAAAACCCATTGCATGTAATGTCGCCATATAAATTTTAATTGAGATGTTTTTCAATTAGCAAAACACACGTTCGCATCTATAAAAGAGTGCATAAAGGTGAATAGTTTTCTCATAAACAAACTGTATCGTAAATCATTAATATAATGTTTTTTTTTTTTCTTTTCTTTAATTAGTCCGTGATATTTTTCGTGCAAAATACTGAACTACTGAACGGTATCTGTTATCGCATCATCATTTAAAAATGATTTGTACTAAATATCAACACAGCGATGCTATCAGTACATCCACTCATTTCGATAACATTTTCCCGGGAAATCAAAAATTAAGGCCAATCACGATTCGGACAAGCAATGCAATAAAGTATTATTTTTTTTTTCTTCTATAATCCTTGATACCGAAAAAAAAAAGTCTTGCATTAATAATCATATACTTCATCGCTTTATATAAATAGAAATCATATATGTTGCGTTTAGGCATAAGCTCACAAGTTTACATTCTCTCTTCGTTAATCGATCATCGAATGCCTATTAATACAGTCATTGACATATGTCCGTGGAGAGAGACTTTACAAAATCCCAAAGTGCGAGTCAATTTATTTTAAAAATTTATTGTGATATCCGTAAACTGATTAAGTCAGTGGATGCTGAGGGCATTTAAGGGGAATAATGCTATAGCATTTATGACATAATGCATCACATTTTTCAACTGGCGTAACGTAAATGCT